ACCCCATCCCACCCCCCCACCTATCAACCCACTGATTAACGCCACCAACCTCAACCCACCGAAGGGCTCCGATTGGCCGTAGTAGCGGTGCTCCACCCACAGCAGCAGCGCACCAAACTCCTCAGCATTCTGCCACATGAGGCCTGGCGCGACAAGCAGGGCCAATGGCGCGGCGCAAAGCCAGGCGTTGGGCGAGCTCGGGCATGGTAGCGGCAGAAACCGGGCGCAAGCGACGCGAATGGACGTTGAAATGCGAGGATGCGAATGCAGCTGGTAGCCGCAGCTTGCCTGTCGCTTTGATGTAGCTGCAGGGAGAGGCGGCAGGCGGCCAGGGGCGCAGAGCAGAGCGATTGTCAGTCAGAAGGTATTGAGTGTGAAAACACACGCACGCTGCCGCTGCCATGCAGCAACCCCGTGGCTAGGGGTCCAGGGGGAGACCAGGCTGTGCAGGCAATCCTCTCGTGCATTATGCCGCAACGATCAAGGCCGCGTGCACTTGCCGTCAGTTGCAGGCAACGTCCCTTCGCGGTTTCACTGGCAGGGCTCTTGCCGTAGAGCCCCGCCCAACCCATCCCCAGTTCCCACCCTTCAACAGGACCCTCGTTGCCGGCATAGAAGAATATTGGGCTGCCGGGGCCCCGCCACGTGCCATTGCAGACGAAGTAGCGCTGCCGCCAGGTAGCTGGCGGCGCGGCGTCGCCGCGCCACCAGCGGAGGTGGTCCAGGCGCTGCTCAAACCAGTCCTCCTTGCAGCGGTCAAGGATGCCGCCGCCAACGCGGCCGCTGATGGCGGCGCACGAGGCCTGCAATGGACAGACGGAGATATGGACTGTTGCACGGCCTGTGACTGAAAATGGGGTCGAAAGTCTCGCATAGTATACACATGTTGCAAAACATCGAGGTGTGCCGCAACCGGCGTTGCGCTGAGCGGGTCCGTAGCGCAGCTGTAAGCGACAGACGGTGCGCTCAGCAAAATAGTGCAGTATATGGCTGAGCCAATGACTTACATGTACGGCAGTCAAAGCCAACAACGCCGCATGAATCGCCCGCATAGCGCGGTGATCTTCGGAGATCTCGGATCGCGCTCTGTGCGCTGTCTGCACAGCACATGCAACAGCGTTGGATCTGTTAAACAAATATTTTTGAATAACGTCGAACACGGAGCATTCGCGCCGCTGGCTCGCAACGGGACAAAGGTGTGCAGTGACCTGGTCGTGCGGCGCCAGGCTACCGGTACTTGCAGATTCGCCAGCAGCCCATGCGGCGTTGGCTGCAGGTGTGGTGGCAAACGTTTGACCCTAGGCATCGATGACAGCCTCGCGCCGTCTGCCTCCAAACTAAAGCAGTGTGCATGATCACGCAACACCTGGCAGTTGCATCACACGGTCAACTCCATCCTTGGTATCTCCTCCCCTGTTGTTGGCAGCGGCTGGCTGCAAGGGCATCAAGAGGTGCTCCACAAGAGGGTCCGCAACATCAGCCTCGCCAGCTCGTCAAAGTGAGTGCACTGTGACAGTTCAGGCCCCCCTGCTTTCCGTCGGGCCAACCAGCCAGGGCTGAGCGGTTGCCGTCCCGAACTGCCAGTGCAGTGTGTTACCAGGGGTACGTGACTGAAGCCGCTCACACCCACCGCCAAAGCGACGGGGACACGTGCGACCAGCTGCCTCATGATGTGTGGATGGCATCACTGAGGCGGTCAAACCGGTCAAGCCATGCACACCCCTTGAAAACCGTTCACACTCGTTCACATTTTAAAACCCCCGCACACCACCATCGTTGTTCTGTCGCGCCTGGTTTGCAGCGTAGACAAAATCTCCAGGGGATAAAGCACTCGGGTAACGAGGTTTGAACACAACCTGTGGTCAGGGAGTTCCGCCATTATTGAGCGTGTTCAGCCTTCGAGCAGGCGTGCTGGCATCCCCAGACCCCCTGGCGACAGCACCCGTCCGCTCGCTTGAAGCGTCCAAACTTGATTTTTCAGCTGCCCGGGCAAACACAGGAGTTGCGCTGCGCCAACCGTTGCGGCTGGCATGCACGCCGCACGCTCTCAGTGTCGAAGGCGCGCTTGCAAGCAGCAAAGTGCGCGACCAGGTGCCGTCCTCTTGTGCGCGTGCAGACAATTTCAGTGCTAGAATATCACAGCTGCCTTACAACCCTGGCTGAGGACCTTGCTATGCCACCATCATGGCACTGCAACTGCAGCTTTGCGAGGTGGACGCTCGGCCAGCGGAGGCTAGCAGCGAAATCGACCACAGTACGAAGGCGGGTGGGGGCGACATGTCGCCGCCTGCGATGCACGTGCATCACTGCCAATGATGGCGTCAAAGCTCACGTGCTGTGATGTAATCGTTTGTGACAAGGGGTGAGAACAGGCGCATGACACATGCGGGCGGACATGTACACGGCACGAACTTGCCGATCAGATCAATCAGGCCGCCACCCCGCGCACCCAGGCTCTGCTGATTATGTAAATGCGAGCGCCTATATAAAGCTGAATCACTACGAGTGCGACCCTCAAGCATGACACAGCAAGTTGAGGTCAGGCAAATGACATGGCAGCCTTGCACCCATCTCCCTTGTGCTGCGGTGCCAAGGTGCCACGGCCACACGGCCAGGTTCGGTGGGTCCACCCGGACATGCATGGCGATGGGGTTGGCACGAGCTCGTATTATTAAACCGCTTTTTACTGTTCAATACCGCGTGCCATCCCCGCTCAAGTCGCATCATCTAATTTCTGCAGTGAGCTTACGCTCACCTTCCTACCCAAACGGTTCAAAGCCGTCTGTGTGGATCTCGCCACGTTTTGGCCTGTATGCCAGAATCACAGTGTACCCCGTAAGGCCCACAAGTCTTTTTGTCCTTCTGGCCAGCTGCGTGCTGCCTGCCCAGCTAGCAGTGAATCGGGCTGACTATGACTGCACACGTTACATCGCATACACATCCATTTTGAATGCAGCGCAGGAACGCCTGAACACAGTGACCAAATCCACCTGGCCAGCTGCGTGCTGCCTGCCCAGCTAGCAGTGAATCGGGCTGACTATGACTGCACACGTTACATCGCATACACATCCATTTTGAATGCAGCGCAGGAACGCCTGATCACAGTGACCAAATCCACCTGGTTTGACTGCAGGGACCGCCCTTTACAGCAAGACTATGTGGCTGTTCGCAAACGAACTGGGTCGAACGCAAATCAATACGCCCGAACGCAAATCAATACGCCCGACCTGTCACAATCTGAATTCTATAACCATGAGGTAAGCCCCCACCGGCCAAACACAGGCAATGCAGCAAGGGAGGCCAGACACCACAGCCTCAGGCAACAAGGTGCGACATGAAAGTGAAAGGACTTTCAGACCCACCTTGTGTTGCAATCGCACGAGGTTGTGCAAACCGCCAAAGTTTTCAGAGCGCTACACCCTTGGCTGCTCAGCAGGCTGAGTGCGTAAGGAGGCTGCAATGGTTCACCTCATCCTGACACATCTTCAGCACAGACCAGCCAAGCTCATTCATGGATGAGCCTTGCCACAGTCTGGCCAAGATCTCTTGCAAGGCCACCACCGCGACCCAGTTGAATGTCTCGAGCCAGCAGCCAGACACAGACGGTCAGCGGGGTCATCAGACAAAGCAAAATGGCCCACGTTTGGTCCACTGCAATGGCATGTGAGTATGGTGCATGGAGGGTGCTCAGAAATCAACGCGCCAGGCGCCGCTTGTGCAGTCCACGGGGTCTTGGGGGTGTGGAAGCCTTGCAATGCAACTTGGCCGTGCGCGACCACTGTAGCACGACTCTGCTCGACATATCAGTTAGACGGCTGGCTGCTTTGCGAGTGCGCTTCCCTGTAAAAATATCCGTTGGGGGCAAATGCTCTTCGAGGCACGGACCAGCATCCTTAAAAAACACCACTCCCCACCGCAAAATCCTTGACCTGGCTGCTGCCTCAGCTGCTGACCCAGTTGGTGCACTGGGCACAAGTGTCGGCATTTCGAACATTTGGGCGTCAACAGTAGTGTAACCGAGTTCACGTATTGTTATTCGTTGAACACAGCCAAGTACACGATCTCGACGCGTGATCTCGGCCCTCAAACGTTCACATCCGTAGCACAGCGTCATGGGAAAGACTCGAGGACACGGTACACGCCGCGGTGGTAGCAAGGGGCGCGGCAGAGGGCCGGCAAGGGGCCGCGGGGAGGACGAGGACTCTTCAGAGGAGGAGTACGAGCCTCAGCAGCGCGCCGTGCGTAAGTACAATGACAAAGCGTTCATCTGCTTTTTAATCAATAACACACCAGGCGCAACTGTTGTCAGCGGCTGCTCCACTGCTGCCTCCCAAGCCGCTGCACCGCTGGTTCTGCTGTGCTGCATGCGCCTGGCTGGGACTCCCGCTCCTTGATCAAATGCATCGCTTGCGCTCTGATTGGACCTGCCCTTCCCACAGCACTGCATCCCTACCTCTCCTCCCACCACCTCCCTGACCCAACCGGCGCGCGCTCGCATTGATTTGCAAATGCAGGCGGCCAGGCAGCGACCGTCGGCATGCTGCCGCCGAGCGACTCTGATTCAGATGAAGACGAGGAGGGTGGCGACACCGAGAAGGAGGCTAAGCCCAAGGCAAGATCTTCCTGTGGCCGCGGCTGTGCCGCTCGCTTGGCCATGGCGCCCACCTTTCCCTCGCGCAGTTCACTTGCAGCAGACCGGCCCAGGTGCACCCCTCATGTCAACCCCTCTCTTGCATCCTTGCTCTGATTGCAAATGCATAACACGCCCCCAGGCCAAGGCAGATGACAAGGGCGACAAGGAGGCGAAGGCCTCGGCCGGTCAGAGCCGCAACGCCGGGAAGCTGCCGCCCAGCGGCAGCGAGGACGAGGAGGAGGACGAGGACAGCGAGGACGAGGAGAGCAGCGACGACGCGCCAGAGCCCGCGTACCTGGCGCAGCCGGCCGCGCCCCGCAAAAAGTGGGCCGGGGAGCTGGGCCTGCTGGGGACTGCCGCAGGCTGTGGCGCCGATGGCGGCTACTGGCGCAGCTCCGGGCAGTGGCTGCAGCCTTCCGTTACCGTATTGATTGATGAAGTATTTGTTCAGCAACACCACCGCCACCAATGCATGCACATGCATTTGTGGCGGTGGTATTGTGGCGCGCGCGCTAATTCCACTTGAGGCTTTTTCCTGCGTGCACACCGCTGCCCCTCTCAGGAAGGACGATGACGAGCCGGACCCGGCTCAGATACGCAAGGACATGGAGCGGCTGGAGCTCATCAAGAACAGGAGGTATGTGTGTGTGTGTGTGTGTGTGTGTGTGTGTGTGTGTGTGTGTGTGCATGCACGCGTGCCGGCTTTGGCCACACCGCCGATGCTTGACACATGCAGACCAGCAGCAGCCGGCATGCCTCTTCTCTGCCACGAGGCCACTTGCACGCCCAGCACCCCATTGCGCCTTGAACCACCTTCACCCCTCACCTGCCCCTACACACACCTTCTGTGACCCCTCACAGGGAGCAGGACCGACTGAAGCGCATCAGGGACGAGGGCTGGGACCGCTACGCACCCATCAGCGACACCAACAAGCCGTGAGAGACTCATGGGGGAAGGCGGGGGCTCATGATGTGATTGTCACAACGTGTGTGGCAGGATGCGTGTTGGGACGTGTGTGTGAGCGCGGGGGCATGTGCGCGCGTGCGTGATCGTGAGCGACCGTGCATGTATGATTGTGATATGTGTGTGTGTGTGTGTGTGTGTGTGTGTGTGTGTGTGTACGCGGGCCCTTGTGCATGCACATGCATTCAACATGCCACCTGCTTGTATCCTGACGCCCATCAACTCACGGGGCTTGCTTCCGCAGGCCTGGCCACACGCCCGGGGACCACCCCAGCCTCAAGGAGTGAGCGGAGGCGCCGCTCGGCAGCGCCCCGGCTGCTGTGGCGCGGCGTCTCCTGGGCTGTGGAGCGTGCGGCTTGGTTGGCGTGCAGAGCGGCTGCAGTGAGGCCTCGGCGCCTGCAGCGGCATGGCTGGGCCCTCGACCCCGCCTGCACAGGCGCTGTGCGCCTGCCTGCTTGGCGTGCCACACTGCCCGGTGCGGTGTGGGCGCCGCACCGGCACAGCTGATTCCAGCAGCAGGGCTGGTCGCGCGTCTGACCAGTGCTGCGCTTTGCCGCGGCGGCCTTCGCAGATCGGCGCGCTACGCCCTCCCCAGGCCGCTTGGCAACATTCACTCTGTACATTCAAACCTCTCGTGTTTTTTGGCTGCAGAGATCGCAATTCTTTACAAGCTATCCAGCTATTATGATGAGGTGCATAAACCTCTTCAGCAGTGGTGTTTGTAAAAACGGAAGATGCAGGCACCATGAGCAGGGACATGCCAGAGATGAGGTAGAACAACCCACTATCCTGACTTTGAACGATGCGGATCGCTGTTTTTTTTGCATGGAATAAGAAGCTTTTCTGTCCAGAGAAGATATGCAGATGTGCATCGCAGCACAGCCATGCCAGTGGGTACCAGGTTAACACAAGGCAGCACGTCCCCAGCTCACGTCACCTCACGTCACCCGCCCTCAAAAGCGCAGCTGCCTGGGTCAGTACCGCAGCAGCACGTGGGCCAGGCTGGGGTCGGCCTCGAGCTCCCCAGCCCGCACCGCCATGAACGCCCTCACCAGCGGCGCCCCCAGCCCCTCGGTCACCGCGCCCCGTAAGGCTGCGTCGCGCTCCCACGCCGCGAGCGCCTCCCCCAGGCTTCCCGGCAGCGCGGCCGGCGCAACCACCGCGCCGCCGTCGTCGCTGCCGCCGCCGCCGCTGCCGCCAATCACGGGCGGTGGCGGCCCGTCGGGGTTGAATTGAACCGGCGGCGGCAGCCGGCAACCCTCAGCCAGCCCGGCCAGCCCCGCACACACGAGCGCGGCGAGCGCCACGTACGGGTTGGCCGTGCCGTCCAGAGCTTTGTACTCGACGTTGGTACTCTCCGCCCCCCCCGGCCGCGTCGCGCGCAGCGGCGCCTCCCGATTGTCCCAGCCCCAGCACACGAACGCGCCCGCCCAGCAGCCGGGCCGCAGGCGCGCGTAGCTGCCCCAGGCGGCGCCCGGGGAAGGCGCGGTGAAGGGCAGCAGGGCGGGCAAGTGGGAGAGGATGCCGCCGAAGAAGGCCGAGGCCTCGTCTGACAGCTGGGGCGGGCGGCGGCGGTCAAACGGGCCGGGGTCGGCGCCGCTGCCGCTGCACATGGAGCTCTCGCCGTCCTGTGGACCACAGTTGATGGCACGTCCGATGTGAAGGGGGGCACGTCCGATGGGCGGTGTTTTGCATTGGTGTGCAGGGTGATCTGTTGATGCAGTCTGCGATTTGCAGGGCTGGGATGCTTTGAGCTCATTCACAGGCGCTTTGCCACACATGCAAAATTTTGGCGCTCCGCTTGTGCCCACCAACCGCGCCAGCGGCGCCTACAATCTGCAGCCTGCCCACGCTTCGCCACCTCCTCCGTCCCACACATCCCACCTCTCTACCCCAAATTGCCCCAGCTGGTCCCCCTCCTCCGCATATCCCTGTTCTGTTGCCTTGCACAACGTTCCTTTCCTGCCCGCCTCTGCCCCCATGTGGTGGCTCACCCTCCAGAGGCTCATGTGCACGTGGGACCCAGAGCCCGCCTGGTTGGGAAACGGCTTGGGCACAAAGGTCGCCGCGTAGCCGTGGCGTCGCGCGACGGCGGCCACAGCCTCCTTTGACTGCAACAGCCGGTCCGCCGCTGTCAGCGCGTCGGCTGCACGCACACGATCATGAGCATGCACGAGGGGAGCCGAGCGAGGTTTGTCAAGGGGGGAAGCGGACACAAGGCGGGCGGAGACCGGGCAACACGCGTTGGCTGGCGCGTTCATGTAGAGCAGATAAAACAGGGCTCGTCGCCGTCTGCGCAGGTTCAGGGTCGCAAAACAGGGGGCGCCGGTTTGACTGCAGCAAGAGCAGGGTCGTGCGGAGGTGCCGCCGCCCACCGGGGCCCGTGGATATTTCAAACTGCCCGGGAGCAGCTTCCTTGTGGTACTGCACCACCTCGATCCCCATGGCCTGCAGGGTGGCCACCATATCGTCCAGGACTAGGAGGGGGGGGTGGTGAGGATGGGGGTTTATTGGGGTGTGGGGCGAGGTGGGGCCGCGGCGGGATGAGGGGATGTGCCAACGAGAGCCTCAGATGAATTTGAGCTCCAATTTGAGGTGCAACTCAAGAGGGCACATGGCATTATTATTAGCCAGCCCCCTGCCTGCAATCACGCTGGCATCGGCACGCTGTGTCGAACGCAGGTGCCCCCCAGCGCCGTCGCCGCTGCCGCCTGCGCCTCCTTAGCGCGGCCCCTCACCCTCGCAGAACTCGTCAAAGCCGCTGGAGCTGCTGTAAGGACCGCCCTCCACCGCCACAAAGTCGGTGCCCTCCGCGCGCAGCGGCGACGCGGCCGCGGCGGCCGGGGACAGCTGTTTGAGCAGCACGAACTCGAGCTCAAAGCCGGCCTTGATGGTGAGGCCGTGGCGCTCTTGGAGGAGCGCCAGGGTGCGCTTGAGGGCGGAGCGGGGGCAGCAGTCCCAGGGCTCGCCTGGGGGCGGGGCGGGGGAGCGTGCGTGTTGCGTAGGCAACCAATGCAGCTGCAGCGCCTCAAGACATGTCTAGCCAAAAGCAAACATGGCAAGGGGTTGATAGAATCGGGCCTTTGATTAAGCAGGGACACACATACGCACCTGTCCGCTCTATATGGTCTACGTTTGCCAGCCCATGGGCCGGCCACCACGGCAGCCGTTCCACAAGGGACGCTGGGTCGGGCGTCAGCAGCGCCTCGCCCGTCGCGCTGAGGCCGGAGTCCGGGTACACGCAGTCCATGTGGACTGGGGTGCCCATGCAGCCGCAGGTCAGCGCGATGCGCGGCAGCGGCGAGGCCGCGGGGTTCTCCTCAGAAGCAGCGGTGGTCCCATGCTTGCCGCTCCACGGCAGCGTGCGGCACCGCCTGACGCCGGCCAAGTCAATGTACATAAGCCTCAACGCTCGCACGCTTTGCTTGTTTTCGGGCGACATTGCACTTGACCGAAGCGAGTTTTTTCTAGTTCGGAACAGATCCCGCTGCTCCTACTGTACGACCTGATGGCTTGGTTCTTGAGTAATAAAACAACACTAGAGTGAGTGCGGCCCCGAAGTCCATGCAGCATCACGGTTTTTGATGGGTGACAGCTCTCCTCTGGTGCCAGCGGTCACACCAATGGTCACACTGCGGCGTCGGGCATGCAAGGCGATCAGCTCTTCCCCAACCCCGCCGCTGGTGAAGACTGTACCCGTCCGGCAGCACCCACCACGCAACGTTCTGACTGGCAGGCCCACGCAGTTTACATGGGAACCTGTTCTGAGACAACAGTGGAGTGCACCCACCAACATGCCACACGGAAGCATACAAGACCCCTATCAGCCCCTGCAATCCCCCGCCGCCCCCTGTGACATCCAAATTCGGCCGCCGACCGAAATCAAGCGCGCTGGCAAAGGTTACAGCTACGAACAAGGAGGAGAGCCCGCCGGGTTGTCCAATGCAGGCAGAGCCTACCCGTTGCAATGTGTCAGCGGGTGGGCCCCCCCAGAATCAAACATGAAGAGCCTGATTGCCAAACAAAGGCGGCAAGTACACGGGGCAGGCAGGCTGTTGCTGCGGCAATGCATGTATCAATCACCGGCTCCCCAGCACCCTTGGCCAAAATGTGAGCCTTGCCGATTGCCACCCGCGCGGCGCGCTGTTGCTGCCACCGACATGGCTTGCGCTCGGGACTCTGTATGCAATGGGCCAACGCGAATCAAAGAGGCCCTTGCGGCTCCAGCGCGCTACCAGCGCTGGCAAGCTGGCGCCCAAGCGTGGCCGGGCAGCCAGAGGACGTGCGTAGAATACAGAGGGGAGTTCGCCCGCGCCGCCGCAGCAGGACGCCGTCCAAGGAAACGGCGCGGCGGCGTGCGGGCACGCACCCAGTCTTGTTGCGCCCACCATCAGCGGGCTGATTTGAAGATGGAGGGGTTGCAGATCAGAACTGCTCGACCCTGGAACCCGCCAAGCCCTGGGGCTTCATGTGGCCGGCGCCGTCGCGGCGGACCATGCCGCGGCGCGCGGTGTCCTCCGCCGCGGCCGCCGCCAGGATCTCCTCGTTGGTGGCAGCCGCCTTGGCCGGGCTCTGTGGGGGTGTGGGGCCGCAAGGTGGGTAGGGTAGAGGTGAACAACAATGATTTCCATTGTGAGGCGCTCCAAGGACATGGATGTGCGATGGTGGGACCGCTTCCGAGGCATCGCCGCGCAATCCGGCACGCCGCGCTCGAAGCTGCGAGCCCTCTGACTTGCTGGAAGGGCGCCGGCGGCGGCGGGAGCGCAGGCGACGCCGCTGCCACGATGCGGGCTGTGCCGGTCCCCCACCTTTGAGATCCAGGTACTGCTGGTCTTGCCGTCCTCGCTGTAGCACAGGCCCTGGGCCGTGTCGCACACGGGCTGCTCGCCAGGGCACTGTAGTTTGGTGGGTGGCGGGCAGGTGAACACACATAAGATCACACAGGATGGTGAGCAAGGTAGTGCCTTGGGTGCCTGAGAGCGCAGGCACCCAAGCAGAAGGGGGAATCCCCACGTCGCAAACTCATCATGCCAGGTGAAACAGGTGAGCAAGCGGCGCCGCGGCAGTGGGGCTCACGCAGTGCTCGTTGTCGGCGCATCCCACGCCGTTCTCGACGGGGCAGCAGTCGTGGCGGATGCAGAACAGGTTGAAGAAGAAGGGCCAGCGGCAGGAGCAGGTGGCGCCGTAGGGGCACTCCTGCCAGCCAAAGGCGTCGCACATGGACGGCACCTTGGGGTTGGCGTGATTCTTCACCTGGGGTTGCGAACGAGGCGGGGCCAAGGGTTTCAGGGAGCGGGCGATTCGATGGTGCCGCAGGACAGGCGGGGGCGACAAGGTCGGGTGTATATTGGAGGCAGAGGACTGGCTTCGAGCCGAAGAAAGCCAGCGGCATGGACGCAACGCGCAGAGTGCAAGCTGATTAGGCCTGGATACTAGGTTTCGGGGGGCTTGGAGCGCGGGGGCGCGCCGAGCCGCACCGGGTAGGAGGCGGTGGTGGCAATCCCGCACAGGCCGCCCTTGCCGACGCCCTGCTTGAGGCGGAAGAACCCGGCCTCGCCCCAGGTGCTGCTCCAGGAGTTCTGGGGGGTGGGGGGCGCGATGGCATACCGCAGGACGCCGCAGGCAAGCCAGTTGGGGTTTGAGGCGCAGGGTTGCGTGCCGTCTGGGAAGCTGCTGCGTCAGCCTCGCGAGGGCCTGGAGGACACCGTCAACGCAGCACCTCACACACAGCAACAAGCCTGCACCAGGTCCTATTGGAGGATTGGAGGCAGCAAGCAAGGCAACCCATCGCCCCCCCCCCAAACACAGACACACACCTTGACGAGCCAGTAGGGCTCCCCCGTGGCCTCGTCCTTGCCGTAGCCGACGGCCAGGACGCCGTGGTTGAGCTCGTCACAGCACTTGTCGATGACGCCACCCCTGGGGTGGGGAAGCAGGGGGGACAGGGGCGTGATGCACTCTCAACACTCGCGGCCGCAAAGCGCTGCAGTGAATAAGACCGTAGAAAGCGCGTCCGTCCGGTCGACGACATTTGCACACATGGAAGCCTCAATCATCAGTCCAAATCCCGAACCACCCAGCTAGCGCTACATGCCACAAACCCCGGCCGATTGGGAGGGGTCCCAGCAGGCACGCACTTGTAGAACTGCATGGACGAGCTGGCGCAGATGCCCACAGCCACGGGCTGCATCGTCACCGCCTTGCGCAGGGCGTCCTCGTCGTCGGCGGGCACATCCTCATAGCCTGCAAGGTGCGTGCGTGCATGCATGCAATGTGTGTGTGTGTGTGTGTGTGTGTTTGTGTGAGTGTGTGCGCGCGCGCGCGCGCACGTGTGAGAGGGCGCGTGCGCCTATCATTTGGCATTGCTCGAAGCACCCACAGAGCGCACTGTGCATTGCAGTCTGCAGGGGTGCAGAGGGCTGGGGCTGGCGTCCGATTGGACGAAAAGCACGAGGGAGCCCTTGCCGGCTGCAAGACCTCCAAGTCCAGCCAAAAAGGTCAATTAGGAGGCTCCACGGCAGCGCACCGTCAATGGTGACGACGGTGCGGTCGTGGAGCTTGCGCTTGTTGCACCAAGTGCCAAAGCCCCAGCCGCTCCAGTAGCCCTGCAGGTCAACATGCGGGTGCGAAGCATGGGTCCCCATGCCGCGAAAGGGGGCCGGCAGCTGGGGGGCTGCAGAGACAGGCTGGCTGGGGCCAAGGCTGCAAGATCTCAGCCGCTCCTTCCGATCCACGGCATGCAATGACAGGTTGAAGCATGACAAACGCGCATGAGAGCGGAGGTGTGCAGCTGCGGCTGCTGCGGACCACGTCGTCCATCAATGCGGAAACCAGCACCGCAGCTGCGGCTCACGTAGTCGCCCTCGGTGTCAAGGCCGCCGTTGGTCTTGATCCATTCAAACGCGTAGTCCATCAGTCCTCCGCCGCAGCCCGCGTTGCCCGTGGTGCTGTCGCAGTCTACCAGCTCCTGCGGGTGGCCAATTGGGTGGCGCCGGATTGTTGAACAGGGAAGTTGGTCTCTCGATCATTGCTGAAGGTCAAGAGCAAGTGAAGCAGCTCTGCGTCTGCATGTGGGCGGGCAGGCGCGGACAGCATCAGGCTGCTTGTATTGTGAGGCGCCTCCTGTGCCCTTGCAGGGCATGCACGCCCCACCTGCTCGCTGAGGGAGACGAGCTTGCCGGTCTTGATGGCGTTGATGCCCTCCACGGCGCCCGTGGCCGAGAACGCCCAGCACGATCCGCACTGCGCGTGGAAGGGGGTGGGTGCAGCAATGGCGTGAGGGGGCGGAGAATGCAGTGGTCGGCCACACCCGGAAGCTGGTCCTGCAGCGCGGCTGCGGTTTCGCAGCATTGCGAGGGGAGGGGCTCCTGATGCAGCAACTGTCAGGAGCAGGCGTCAACTTTTCGTCGGTGGACAACTACCCCCTCTTTCCCGAGCTGCATGGCTACTGCTCCACGCGCATCGCTCGGTGTGCACTTTGCGCCCTGACGAAGCAACAGCCGCGGCCATCAGAGGGGCGCGCCCTGCCGGGCCCCTCACTCCCAAGCTCACCGCGCCCTGGTTCTTGACCTCCGTCACTGCGCCCTCCTCACGCCAATCGACCCGCTCCTTGGCCTCCACGTTGGCGTGGCGGAACGGCGCCCTGCCGAGCCGCTGCGCGCGCGCGGCCTTGCTGGCGGCGCCGTTGAAGCCGAGGTGGGTGGCTGAGAACTCCTTCCAGGTCAGGTCGGCGAACTCGTTTAGGTCCATCTGGGGTGGTTCGTGTTGGGAGGTAAGATGACGTTTGGTGTTTTTAGGTGCTTTAAGGGTGGGGTGTGCACTCATCGCCGCGGGCGTTGGGGGCTTGCAGGGCTCAAAAGTGCTGCCGTTGTACGTCGAGCATCACGAAAGCGTGCGGCCTCGTCCGCTCCGCCTGCCGCAGCAGTCTCCGAATGCGTCCCGCGGCCGGGCAGGCGGGCGTCACGCAGCTGGGCGCGAGCCGCCAAGGGAGGGGGGCGCGCCTTGTGGCTGGCCGTCTCGGCATTGTGGCGGCGGATGATCTCCACGTTCTGCTGGAACACGCTGAGTCGGTGGCTGTATTCCTGCAGGTCGGAAATGGGGCAGCAGCATTTACATTAGCAGGTGGGTGTGCAGCAGGACGGACGTGCGGCTGCCGTCAAGCGCACCACCCATCAGTGCTGAAGAGCGTTCTGAAGCGGACTCACGATATAGTTCTTGCCGTAATCTTTGCCGTGCACCGACATCCAGGCGCCGAAAGCAGTGCGCGGGTCATCCTGTGGGATGCAGCACGGGCGCGTGCGGGTGGGTTGATGAGGCGCACTGCCAACTCGCCATGCTGAACTGCGCGACAGAGCGGTGCTTGGGCGTAGCTGCATACAATGTGGACTTGGGGCTACATGTTGTGCAGCAGAACGCGTGCATATTGCAAGCGTGCCAGATCCACCACGTCGTCCTCACCACGGCCAGCTGCAGGAGGCTCGCAGACTTCGAGGGCAGCTCCAAAGATGCCATTGCAAGCTGAACGGCGCAGGCAAGCGCTAGGGCAAGGCCCCAGCAGAGCGCGGTCCATCGTGGCATGATAGGCGAACCAACTCTGCCGTGTTAGTGTATGACTACAGGTCAGCTTGCAATTTTAGAAATCTGCCTTGAGAGTATCGACTTCTCATGGGGTGCAAGCGCAGGGCCAGCTGGTCGCTTCCCACAAACCAGCTCGGCATGAATCAGACTGGATGGCGACAGGCAAAAGTCCCCCCCGCCCAGCAATGCACTGGTGCATAGAGCTCCTGAATGTTGGCCTTGCACTGGTGGATGTGCAGGCACACGCCAGGCTGGACCCATGTACAGGAAGTTGGAACCAGCCCACATGCAATCCCACCGATGATGTTGGCCGCTCGCTGGCCAGTCCCGGATACGACCACTGTCCTCACTGTGGTGCTGTGATGCCCCGCTGAGCCATTCATGACATACATGCTTGCTTCCTGTCGCGCTTGATGCATCCCAGCAGGTCTACATAACAAAACTGCCAGCACGCAAAAATCCCATTACAGGGCCAGCAATCCCAAAGCAGCCCTCCGCATCTCTACACGGTCGCTCCAAGGCTGCACGCCTGGGATTGGGTGGCAGGAATTCCCGTTTACGCTGCAACCTTGCCGGCACAGGATGCCTGGATTAATGGGCCTGCGCAAGCAGGCCCTGCTGCACTGCGCAAAGGGCTCCAGCGCGGCCAAGACTGCGACGCAAGCAGTGAATGGTGTCCCATCTACAGCACCCAGTCCGTTCTGCTGCTCAGAAGGCATGAACTAGAAAATGCACGAGACCATAAGTAGACAAACCAATATGATGTGGCTCACCGTGCTAGACGGATGTGGCGCGAAGTCGACGCCTCCAGCGCACGAACTCAAGGCTGTTGTGCAGCCGTGCAGAGGGAGCCCATAGACGCAGCCGTCGAGCTGCAAGCACTGGGGTTGGATGGAGCAGTCACGACGGAGAGGTGGTGGTGGATGCAGTCCAATAATCTCCCCGCAAATCCCTTACATAACCACATCCCAGGTGGCGCAGGTTCCGACCGGCGCGGTTTCAGAGACCCCTCCATGGTCGCCCCCTCCCCGCTTGCCGAGCCGTACTGGCCTCACCCCCACCCAGCCTCGGGGGTCGTGGCAGTGTGAGTGGGGCTCGCCGTTGTGAAGCGACGGGAGGGGGCACATGAGCTCACCCAGAGGTAAACCCCCCCGTGAGCCTTGGCCAATGAGCCGCACAAGTGAATGATGCGGCCCAGCACAGCGCACACAATCCTCGCAGAAATCAAACCCACGTGGCCCAGGTTCCGACCGGCGCGGCTTCAGAGACCCCTCAATGGTGGCCCCCTCCCCGCTTGCCGGGCCGTACTGGCTTCACCCCCACCCCGCCACGTGAGTCGCGACGGTCTTAGTGGGGCGCGCCGCTGGGAAGCGACGGGAGGGGGCACATGAGCTCACCCAGAGGTAAACCCCCCCGTGAGCCTTGGCCAATGAGCCGCACAAGTGAATGATGCCGCCCAGCATGCAGGCACACGCCATGCAAACAAGCCCTTCAGCAGGTGGCGCAGGTTCCGACCGGTCGCAGAATGGAGCCTCCTCCATAGAGATCCCCACCCCACTCCCGCCCGGGCCGTACTGGCCTCACCCCCACCCAGCCTCGGGGGTCGTGGCGGTATGAGTGGGGCTCGCCGCGGGCAAGCAAGCGGTGGGAGGGGCTGCTTGAGCTCGCCCAGAGGCAAACCCCCCGTGAGCCTTGGCCAAGCACTGCACAATTCAATGCTGCAGCACAGCATATACCTACAGTGTACACTTCACATACAAAAATCATTTACTTATCTTGATCGGGCAGGGGGAATCAAACGGAGAAGCGGACGAACATCTAAGGTTGACTCTGTGACT